GAACACCAAATCTAGATATAACCCAATATATGGTGAGAATATAGTATACTCTGGTAGGTTTAGGTCGTAGATAAAATTGTCTAAGTCTGTATTCTTAAGATAGATATGTAGCCATATAAAACAATACTTGATAAATATCTAAATAAAGATACGAGGCAAGACCTCACCTTAACACTGAAAAAAAAAAAATTTAATTATTAAAGCTTGAACATGCTCTGGACATTTTTGAATACTTGGATACTTAGATATTGGATAGTATCAAAAAGCTTTTGAATAGTTAAAATGTATATTACTAATTATAGATATTTTATTTTAACTAATCAACCAAATATAGTTAGCTATAATGTAAATAAAATTTTTAAATTTTTGTTACTAGTAGGATTCAAACTCTTAACATATTACTTGGAGGGTAATAACTTGACTATTTTGTTATATCACTATACTCTTCTTAATAAAATTTTAAAAAATTAATAAATTTGTAATTATAGATTATTATAACTATAACTATGCTCAAATATAATATAACTATTAAAACAATTATTTTTTATAAAAATAAAATTTTATAATTAACATTAGAATTAAAATAAAACTTAGATAAGGTTTGAATATCAGAAAATCTTGATGAGAAGATACCAGAGTTTGGGTAAACTCTATAAGAGCAAAAGAGCAAAAACTAGGTCAGCCGAATTGTGGGTACAGAAAACTTTAACAGGTTTACCCCAAGAATAAAATTGTTCTAAAGTTGTAATTAATATTAATTTGAGGTTATGTATATAAAAATATATGTATATAATCTGTTAAACATAAATAAAAATACTGACTAAAAAGATCACCTTAACATTAAAAAAAATAAAACAAAATAAAACTTCGATTAGAAAAGACAAATTATATCAAAATTTAATGAGAAAATTTATTGTTAAAATATAAAAAATAATTTTATAATTTAATTTTTGAATTATTAATTTTTTAAAAGAAAAGTTTTTGTTTTAATTTCATATTACAACTAATCTTAGTTATAGTTATAATAACCATGATTACAAATTTATTAATTTAATTTTGTAATATAACTTTTTAAAATTTGTATTTTTTTATAATTTATTATAAAATTTATAACTAATGAATTTGTAACTATAGATTACTGCAACCATAACTAAGATCAGATGTAATTATCAAAATTCTTTTTTATAAAAATAAAACTTCATGGTTAAGGTTAGAGTTATAATAAGGCTTGAGTTAGAAAAAACATAAATTATATCAAAATTTATCAAGAAATTTTTTTGTTAGAATGTAAAAGATAGGTTTATAGTCAAAATTTTGAGTTATTAATGATTTTTTTAAAAGAAAGTTTGTTTTAATTTCACGTTACACCCGATCTTACAGTGGTTACAAATTTATTAACTTAATTTATAAAATTAATTTTTTGTAAACCATTTTTTTGTTAATTTGGTTCTTTTCTCAAAACACGGTCATATATATACAGTATATATATTTACTACGTACTGTACGTATAATATAATTATTTTTTAAAAAAACAATATTCGTTAATTTTTAATAATAATAATTAGAAAATAACTATATTTAACCAGGGAAAAATTCACCCTTATGTTTTTAGAGTTAGCATAAAGATCTGAATTTTTGTTAAGATTAAATTTTTGAAGGAATATTTTTACTTAGCACCCCTGACGTATGTTAGCGTTAGCTAGTACGTTTTGAGATATAGCATCCCGGTGAATTTCCTCTCGGTGAAAATTAGCAATTGCCTAATAATCATATAAATATATTGATAATATATATAACAACTTCATTATATTTACTTTTTCTTTGTCTTCAAATATCTAATTATGTATAATTTCACTATTATATTGTATTAGAAATTTAAAAATATATTTTACAATTAAAAATAGTTAATACAATATAAAATTTAAGTAAAAACTATTATCGAATTATATATATAATTTATATGATTTTAAAAGTACACTCTACCCTTTATAAGTTTATTTTTTTTTTATTACGCGAATACTTGTGATTTTATTTGTTTCGAACTTGTGTGAAGAGGTCCAGATTTGCATGGTTAGAAGTTTCCGAATTATAATTTATATACAATGTAATAAATTTTAATTTTTACACGTGTGCTTATTGAATAGTAACATAGTGGCCAATTCCCAATTCAATTATAAAATTACTTCACTACTATTTTATTAAAAATAGGTTTGGAAAAAATTCAACTAGAGTTTATTGTTTTTTTTTTTTTTTTTGAATAAGGATTAGCATTTGAATTTAGCCAACTTAATTGGTCGGAACTAGGTTGTTTGCATTGTAACTCAAAATTTTGAAGTATTGTTGGTAGCGGTATGTAATAGCCGATAAGTTAGCTTAGTCATCGCGTTGACATTTTCTTTGGTAAAATTTTAAGTGACTCTCTACGGGTGCATCAACTTCGGGTATTACTTCTCTGACTTTATCAAAGGATTCCATTCTGTTATATACGGCACGATATACTCCGAGATATTGTAAAGTTTTTCCTAGATATTGTACGACGAGTTCAAGATATTCGTCGGTGATACATTCACATCCAGAAAGTGTTAGCCAAGTTAATGGAGCTTTGCAATTTTTCAGAAAAGATTCAAAAGCTGTTGTAGTAAATGACCATTCTGATGAAATATTTAACCTCCGGAGGCTATCCGGTATAGATTGACCTATCGCTGGTAAAAAAGTTTCTGCATCCAAACTTGCCCCATAAATTGCCAAGTTTTCAAGTTGTTGCGAACTGCTCAAGAGAGAACAAATTGCAGACACCTCTTCAATACCATGAATTTGATTTGACTCAAATTTAGTAAGATTCGGGCATTTTTTGACAAGCGCGTTAATTACTTGTACTAAATATTTTGTACTCTGCGTGGAACACAATGTTACTTCGCGTAAACTGGTATTAGCATTATAAGCTAATGATGATACGATGTCAACGGGAATGTCAGAATTTGAGATATTCAATTGTGATAATTTGGACAATAGTGATTCCACCATTGGGCTGCACATTTCTGTAGTCAATCCATCGCAACCATCAAATTCCAAAATTTCCAAATTCTTGCAGGCACCGATCCCGAAGAATGGAGGTTGGCCTTCAAATCTAACGTAACTTAACTTTAATCGAGTTAAAGTTTCGGATTGACTTTGCAAGGCTGCGATGATTCTTCCACCAGTGTCATGTCCATAATAATCACCATGAAGCTCTAAATCCTGTAAATTTCTTTGAGCTTGAATAAAAGTAACCAAACCTTCAACTTCAACTTCGAATTTCTCGGTATTTCTACACTGCTTCTCATTATCCCATTCATATACTGGAAGATACGTCTTCAATTGGCATACACCATGACAAATTGAAAATTTTTCAAAATATTTACGTAGCCTTTTTCCAGTAAGAGTTAATCTACGAATATGTTGCAAACAGGATTCGGCACCAGGGTAAGATGTGATATCATATTTCTCGAGCAACCAGGTTGCATCACAGGAAAATCGATAAATAGCGGGACATCGACTTACAAAAAGCTTTAATAATAATTCTGTAAGTATAAAACGACCTTCGGCACCAATACATTCATCCCTTCGAAGATTGCACCACCACCACAAATGGTGATAAAGACCTCCAAGGTGAAGAACACGCCGATACTTTGCATAGTCAAAAGTTGGCGGTGACTCGGTTGAAGGTGGAAGATTTAAGCCGTTATCGTTGAGTATTTGTTTTTCTTCGTCTGATAAACATGCAATGTATACCTCGACCAATTGTTTAGACATATACGCATTTGGACTTCTCCATAGAATCGGTACAACTTCCTGACACCAGTGCCAATTAACCAAAAGACACGAGTGTAAAGAAATCTTATCCTCTTCAATACATTCAAATATTTTACGAAGGCAAAGGTTAGGTAGAGAAGAAGCCATTTACTTAACTTTTTTTAATATGTTTTAGATTATTCTTAAGTGGGTAAAGAAAGTTTTTACCAAACAATTCTTATAACTTATCTTTTAAGTCATGTGTGCAGTGCAGGGGTGTACGCAAAATTACATAATTTTCGATTATCCATCTCAAAAAAAATGACATATCTATTTTATCGTATGCTTTTTTTCACTACGTTAATGGTCACACCTTTGGTAAAATGTAGCCACAATATTTTTTTCGGAATAAATATTTCGGTTAAATTGTATATATAAAGTCTAGCTAACATTTATATATACAATTTACCGAAAATTTAAAGAAAAATGGAAACATTTACTAAAGGCGTGACTCCTTCGACAGAAAAGTATGACGGGTCTTCTCTACGTGTCTTGATAGTACACACACGTTGGAATTATGAGATCGTAGAAGCGTTAGTTTGTGGAGCAAAAGAAACGATGACTTCAGAATATAACGTGAAATCTGAAAATATTTCAATCCAATCGGTCGCTGGTTCTTATGAACTTCCTTTTGCTGCTCAAAGCCTTATTGGAGCTTCGAGAATGAGCCCCCAAAGTTTCGATGTCGTTATTTGTATTGGCGTTTTAATTAAAGGTTCAACAATGCACTTTGAATATATCGCGGAAGCCGTAAGTCAGGGAATCATGAGGGTTAGTCTAGACAGTGGTGTACCTATTGTTTTTGG